CCTAGCAGGGAGCCCGATGCGGGACTCGATCCCAGGACCCTGGGATCATGACCTGAGCCGAAGGCAGACGCTTAACGACTGAGCCACCCAGGCGCCCCTTCCAACGTAGTTCTTATCACAGTTGTAATTATTTAGTTGTTTGTGTAAACTCCCTCAGATATATATTCCATGCTGTGGTTTACTCTATTTCATCTATCAGCTTGCTATTATCTACTTGTCAATGAATGGGATCTAAGTGACAATGAAAGGCAAATACACATGCCTTGGCTGTCACCCCCTAATTGGAATGTCAATAGCAAATCCTTACTTATGTCCTATTTTACCTCAATGCTACATGGACCTGAATCTATGACCTTTAAGGTAAAGGAAAGTGGGAATTAGTGGGAAAGTGGGAATGTACCTTGGATCGAAGAGCCATATTCTCCTCTTCCAGTTCCTTGAGTTTTTCTTGCAGCATGTCCAACTGCAGCAAACCTTGAGATAAGCTAAAGGACTCATTGAACCGGAGAGGTGTAGAACAACTGGAGTCAGTTTCACTCTCTTCAGAAGCAATAGAGACAATTCGAAGTAATTCATCTTTCTTGGACAGCTCATGCTGCAGTTGATTAACCTGCACATCAAATGGCTTGATTTATAAGATGGTCTTTCTTTTGCATTATTTCCATGTAATACTGCTTTTAATTCGTGGAGCAATTGTTTCTTACCATAAAATAAAATCATAAAATCAGTTGCTAGATTTTACTGACTAAAGTTTTAAAAAGAGAATAACAAACTTCAGATACTTCCTAAGATATAATGTTAGAGCGTTAACTCAACCAATATAGCTTTTTCTGTACTAGGTGAAAAGCCAATTCTTATATTCTATATAATAGGAATGTAGGAAGAAAATTTAACATAAGATAATGATACATTCACACTTAAAAACAAAACAAAACTGAAGAACCTTCAAAGTGTCAGAATAGACCCCTCCTTCAAAGTCTCATCCTAAATAAAGGCTTATACTTTTAAGCTTTTAAGTATAACTCTGCATGACTTCCTAACTTTAGTTTTAGAAAATAAATATTTCCAACGCAAAGGTTCAAATGTTATTAAACATAATGCATTTATAAAATATAAATGAAACCAGATAATAACAAATTACAGGAAGTTTGAAATGCAACCATTCAAGTTAATAATAAATCAGTTCTCACTAAAAAATATTTATTGCATGAAATAAATTTCTTTACCTTTTCCTTCTGTTTGGGTTTTTGAATAAAGATACCTCATTTGGGTATCTATAATTTAGGGTTATTTTTTCAAAATAAATTTAAGATAAGATCACACAGAAAGTCTACATAAAGGGATGAAGAAAAAGCGTTAGAATCTAAGCAGGGTGCCTTATGTTTGGTAGATCCTGAACATAGGCTTTTATACCGACTAAGGTGGAGTCCCATGAGCACTCCTCTGTACAATAACATTTCATTTCTCTACTGGTTAGTTCAATGGCTGCCAACAAAGTCAACATGTGCTGGTGTTATTTACCTACCTATTGTTAACACTTCAGGGGCACCCAGAAAAATTTCTTCATTGCCCAAGAAGTAATTATTTCATGCTACAAATACTTGATCAAAGACTTACTTGATCAAAGGCTTGTCCCAGTTGCTCCTCCAGGGCTTCATTCTGCTCAGACAAGACATGGTTCCGTTTTAAGAGAGCTTGTCCAATTCGAGCAGCTAGCTCCAGATCACGATCTCTCTGTTAAAATACCAAACACATCTTTTGAGAACAAACAAAATTAAATGGTAGTTTAGAAATTCTTCAGTTTCCCTAAATTCAAAAGCAATGTCCTAGAAAGCATCAAGATTCATTTTAATATTCAGATATCACAAATAAACACAGGGCCTGACACACGGGTGGTGTTTAATATATGTTGGTCAAATGGATGGCCACCATAGTTATACAGGGGGTATTTCTTTTCAAGTGAGATTTTTTGATCACCCTATTAATTGAATCAAACAACCCAACCTTTAAACTTATGATTTGGGGGAATTAAAAAGTCAGCAGGGTCTTTAAAAAACGAAGATAGGGCCTGGCACACAGTGAAAGCCCAACAAATATTTGTTGCATGCATTTGCCTATTATGCATGGTAATGATAAAGTAAGTGTGTTGAAAACAGTTCCAATTAAGGCAAAGTTTCTATGTATTCAGAGCCAGAGGCTTAAAGGAAAGCATAATCAAGAGCCCTACTGTCAATTGCTGCAAAAATGATAATATGAGATAAAAGAGGAGATAGAAGACTAGAAGTTTTGAGGCTACAGGTTCTGCTAAAGCGTAAAGGAGTCTAAAGAAGTCAGTGGTAATGATGCAGGGAGGCCTATAGGAAAGCCAAGCAAAGCAAGAGTTACTCCTACGTAGATGGTGATACTTAGCAAGCATGTAGGAATCCCACCTATGTGGTGGTGGTGAGGATTGTATTCTGTAGGATGAAAACTGTCAATATACATCTAGCTGCCTTATATACAAGCATGGATTCCACTTATATTAATCACTGTAAATAAAATTAAGCTTCTATCCTTACATATGAAAACAGGTAGATGAATTATCTCCAAATTTTCAAGGCCCACTCTCCTCATTTTCAATATAGGCTAAGTGGCATACACAACCTCATTCTAGGGAGCTGTGGGGAGAGGGGAGAAGGGTACTTCAAAGAGAAAGACAGTTTCTATAACATCAACTGAAGTTGACGTATAAGGAGACACCTCTAAGAATGCCAACTGGAAGAGATACACTGCACATATTAAAAATGTCATGGACAAACTGAGCTGAAATAATAGTCCAAACCGAAAGTAAAGAAAGGAAGATGCTGCAAACCGCTGGTATTGATTTGCAATGGAGCTGCTTCTTGAATGGGTAAGTCTGCTCCAGGGTAACAGCAAGGATTTATTAAACAAAACAAAACAACACTTTTCTTTTTTTAACATAGCTTTTCTAGGATAGGGAAGCTAGCACCATTATAACAACAACAACAAAAATTAAACCCTCTGCAACTTCCTAACAATAAACTTCAGGAGCCATTCTATTTTGGAATGCCAGTTGGTATGCCGGTCCACTTATAACAACCTTATACAAAATAACCCAGAACAAAGACATCACTGTTTTTCATTTGATCTGCAAACTTGATAGATTTTAAATGGCTGTCAAGTTTTAGTCCTGGAGAAAGAAAAGATATATTCTTACCTCTGCCAGGAGGTGTGTAACCATGTCGATATCATTGTAAGTTTTGGTCATCTGCTCCACCCTGTCTGTGCCTAGAACTAAGACAGTTAAAAACAACTGTTTATAGTATTTAAAGTTTTAAATATTCATAAGAGTTGAAAGATAACAACAACAAACCCAGGCTTTTACGAAATGCCATTCAGGAGAATAAAAATAAATGTGAAAGAAGAAAAGAAATGTTTATATATTAGACACCCAAGAAATGGACCAATTATTATAAAAATGTACATCATACAATGAATTAAGAAAGTTATCAAATGATCATAAGGCAGCCACTTCCTGACTATCTCCTCCTCCCTCAGTAAGATCAGAATTTTAGTCCACTCACACTAGAGACTGTGGGCCTGAAGAATGGATTAAATCACCGATTGTTTTATGCCCTAATCTCAATTAAAGTTCCTGAGGGGCAAGTTAGTGAGGGGAAATATATTTAATTAGAATTCTGTTGTGATTATCTTCAATATCTGTGATCACCTATCATGTGAGCTAATACCAATAAACAAGGAATAGGACTTGTAGGACCTTCTGTAACTCTGTTACGAAGCATAATTAAAAACTCTTTATGAAAATCTCTACCATATCTAGGCCTCTGCTATAAGATAAACTGTATATTATACTATTATTTGCATAATTTAAGTCCAAGATTTCTGCATTAAATTCAGGAACTGTCAGGGCATTGAATAATATGGCTCCAAAGAGAAAGACAAGTATGACCCCAGTGATTCCACAGTCACAATAAGCAACACCCTTTTAAGCTAATGATGCATCCTAAAAGAGGGATCTTTTGACTTTGGAGTGCATTACATGAAACAGATCTGTGTTCGACTGAGACTGATTTTATAATTAGTTTGTTGTGAAGTGTGGAAAAATAAGAGGCTTTAGAAGCAGAAAAGCTGAATTCACGCTATCTGAGTGAACTTAACACTTCTGAAATTCACCTTCCTTCTTTACAATATGTAGGTGATAACACTCATCTCACAGGGTCATTAGGAGGATGAAACAGGATCATTTAATGAGCGGTATTAATCTACTGCTAAGTGTCATACAAGTGTGTATAGTTACTACTCTTTAAACACAGCTGGTATGTATGAAATAGCACTGATTTAAAATACTCTGTAAATAATGCACTGTGTTGGCAGCAGATACTATGATTTAAGTCACTTGTAGTTCCTTAGTCCCATCTTCTCCTTGAGGTTGCCCAAAAGACACCATGGGACATGTTTACTTTATTTTTTTTTAAAGATTTTATTTATTTATTAGAGAGCGAGCGGGAGAGAGCACAAGCAGGGGGAGTGGGAGAGGGAGAAGCATGCTCCCAGCTGAGCAGGGAGCCTGATGCAGGGCTCGATTCCAGGACCCTGGGGTCATGACCCAAGCCAAAGGCAGATGCTTAACCGACTGAGTCACCCAGGCACCCCAGGACATGTTTTACTTTTATTTGAGCTTTTTATTTTCCTTTCTGGTAAAACTGCTTAAAATGAATCTGGGAATTACCTAGAACTTAATTATTAATGACATCTTATTCCTAGCTAAAAGTAAAACAAAGTGCTGGATTAATAGTAATAGGAGATAGAAAACTAAAAAGATCTGGATAGAAACAATTTTACCCCAAAAGGATCTATATTTATAAGTAGAAAAACTGGCTCCATAATTTAACCACAGGGATAAGAGAAACAGGCTTTTGGGCCAAAGGAATCTTCATAATTTACTTCCAGTGTGAGGTCTCCACTATTTCTGGCCTCAATAATGAGACAAAAAATCAAATCATATCTATGTTCTAAATTAATTACAGGAAACCAGCCAATGGTTACAAACCTAAATGCAACCTAGGGTGGTGGGTCTCATCTCTAGAGTCTAGTTTAATTGATTTGAAGAAGCCCCAGGGCACACGCAGTAAGTAAAAGATGCCCAGGTGTTCGGACATGGAGCTAGCAATGAAAACTGCCAATTCAGAAGTAACACTTGAAGCAAGAACCAGGAATCCTAGAGACTCCGTTAAAAACAGTTTTTATAAAACTAACTGAAACAATATATGATATAGTTTATATTACATGATTGACCAGAGTTGAAGGTGAAGTGGTAAATTTATTTTGAAGTAAAACCAGTAAGTTAAGGCTATAATAAAGAGCTTAGCTACAAGTCACGCATGAAGAAAGGGGAAGAGAAAATAAAGGACACAGTAAGACAGAAAAGAGATGTTTAGAATAAAACATGTTTTAGGGAGGAGAAACTAATAATAGGATAATAATGAGGTGATAACAACTTCCATCTCACAAGGTCATAAAAAAACCTTGGGTCCGCTCATTCTCAGTAATGGGCTCTTTGCACCATGCTGCTGTTCCTGTCATAGTGCCACCAAGATCAGAAGGCCTTCATCTGATGAAATAACCAGTATCCATCTGTGAATGCAGGTTATCAAAACACAGATCCCAATTTTGTTTTAAAATTGTGAGCATATCTTCTACATATGGATACAGAAGAGAGGCTGGAAGGATACACATTAAAATGTTATAGTGGTTATCTCTAGGTAGGGATTAGGCTGATCTCTTCTTTTTAATCTTTTACTAATTTTCCAGGAAGAATAAATGTCTTTGCAATCAAAAAACAGCAGCTCTCGTTCAGAGAGCAAAAATGAATTTTCAAATGCTTAAACATTTTTACAGAACAATTTTGCAAGTTGGTTTTCAAAGGTTGTTAATTAATGTTCAACATTTTTGGTGTAAGATTTGGAGAATCTTATGTTCCTGAAAAAATATGGGGGGAGGGATATACTTAAGTACTTTACCAATTCTTACTTTAAGTTCTAATTCTGCATAATTTCACATCGACCACTCAACCTCACATTTTTTGAGGATGGGAAGGGCCAATGTTAACCCATTTTGACATCTCTGTAATTTATATGAGACGGTGCTTGATAGTTCTCTCATTTTTTAAAAATTTTATTTTATTATGTTATGTTAATCACCATACATTACATCATTAGTTTTTGATGTAGTGTTCCATGATTCATTGTTTGCGTATAACACCCAGTGCTCCATTCAGTACGTGCCCTCTTTAATACCCATCACCAGGCTAACCCATCCCCACCCCCCTCCCCTCTAGAACCCTCAGTTTGTTTCTCAGAGTCCATAGTCTCTCATGGTTCGTCTCCCCCTCCGATTCCCCCCTTCATTTTTCCCTTCCTACTATCTTCTTCTTTTTTTAACATATAATGTATTATTTGTCTCAGAGGTACAGGTCTGTGATTCAACAGTCCTACACAATTCACAGCGCTCACCATAGCACAAACCCTCCCCAATGTCTATCACCCAGTCACCCCATCCCTCCCATCCCCCACCACTCTAGCAACCCTCAGTTTGTTTCCTGAGATTGAGAATTCCTCATATCAGTGAGATCTAGAGTTTTTACCACAATTACTGAAATTTAAGAAGACTTCTAATCTCTCCAACCCTCTCGTAGCAAAAAATCAAAAACAAGCAACAAAAAACAGAAATGAAAGACAAACCACCCATGTGGCATAGTCAAAGCCGCAAGAGCTCCTGGTAACTACAGACAGGTCTTCCAGTTTTAATCCCAAAGAAGTGACCGCTGCTCTTGCTGCTAGAATATGGAGAACGTTTCTGCAATACAAAAAACTGCCTTCAAAAACACTGAGAACAAAAAGAAGGTGTCTGATGATATATACCATCTAGGACAGCCTTTCTCAACAGGGTTCCAGGGGAGAATTAAGCCCTACATATAATGATTTGAGTGAGACAATTTTCTCAATTCTCCCACAGATAATACTCAATAGGTGTCTTGGGGCATATGACTTAATTATTTTGTGGAATTGTTTGAGAGGAAATATAAATATGCTAACCTCCATGATCTGACTTATGGTTACTGCTTCCTGAACATTATCAGTTATATTTCTTTTCCTGCCAGTATAGATTAATAATTTTGGAGGGCAGACCTTGAGGAAAAGTCTAAGCAGAAGTAATTATTTCTACAACTGTATTTCTTTACAAAATTGTACACCCTCCCTAATTCCTTAAACTCTCCAATGAACATCACTATGAAATGGCCATATAGCTTTGGTTGACAATGCTTTGTACTGGTGGTTCTCAGATCTTAGTGTGCATCAGTACACTCAGGAGGACTTATTAAAACACAAACTGCTATGCTCCACTTCCAGAATTTCTGATTCTGTAGATCTGGGGTAGGGGCCCAAGAATTTGCATTTCTAACAAGTTCCCAAGTGATGTTGAGCTCCTAACTAAAACTTAGAAGACTAATCATTTCCCCCTAACCCTTTTTTCTTATGCATTCTTATGCAAGGTGATCCCTTATGCCCAAATAAAAAATACCCTGAAAGGCAGATGAGGTTTCTTTCTATTTTTAGCCTTTCCACGAACAAATGGTACTCTCTGTTATGATGTGCTATGACTGCACTGCCCACCCACAGCTCACTCTGGGTCTCTCTCTTAGTAAAATTAAGGAAATTCCGAAATGACTTGTTCTGCATGCAAAATATTCTTTGATTTTTAGATTTAGATTTGATTTAAGATTGAGTATCTTAAATTTTATATATGGCAGGGACTAGGATGGAATTATTTTTTGGGACCCACCCATTGCTCTCAAGTGTTCTATTTTAAAAGTAAACAATCTCTTTCTGGTTTGGTGGGGCCTTCTGAGAACATCCAGTCTCCTTTCATCCACTTGAGGTAGGCTCCCAACCCAAAACTCTGCCCATGCTTCCTTCCAAATTTATTTTTCTTCTCACAACTCTTCCAACTTCTTTGTGTTACAAAAGAGAGAAAGTGCCTCTGCCTGCGCCACCTCTTTTCATTAGTTGTTAAAATTCATTTTAAGGAGCAGGAGTATCTACTGGTATGTGAGGGAAGTAGGGATAAGAAGAGGCTGAAGTTGTACCAGGGAGCTAAACCCTAGGATGGCCTGTGAGGGTACATAATAATTATTCACAACCACAGATCTTGACATCTCAAAGGGACAGAAAACTGTTGGAAAGGCTCAGAGAATGTTTTGTATCTTGGCTTTTTAAAACATTGATCAATTTGCTAAATAAAGTAAATCACTTATCTTTTACACTCATAAGATGCAAATTCAAAATGAAGTTTATTTATATTTGAGTGAACTGTTAACCCAAAGAATTGACATCTTTAAAATAACAGTGAAATTGAGGTATAATACAGAGATAAAGTATTAGTGGACCAATGATAATCCTAGCTTATTTGCTTCATGATCTTAAGTATATCATATATAGTTCAATTTTCAAATTGTTGAAATGAAAATAGTACCTTTAGACTAAAGGACTAGGATAGTTTTCTGGACCCTGGAAGTATGGATCTGTAACATCCTATTAATCTTAAGTTTTAAGTTGCTCTCTTGAACATTATGATTTACTTGTATGGGGTCCCGAAAACCAAGTATTTTAGAATTTGATTATCATTTATTTTCCAAAGAAGTTTATTTTTATTTGAATTCTTCCTAAAAGTAACTCCATGAAATTATGATCTAAGACAGATTTCTAGCTACAGTTCCATCCTCTAGTGGCATATATGACAAAGAAGTAGTAAACTAAGGGGCACTTTCTGTGCTACTTTATCAAAATAATGACAGAAACTAAACTTATCCTGATGAAATTTCAATGTAAAGTTTCTTCTCACAAATCTAAAAATGCATGGGACAAAGACAGATGGAAATAAAAAACAAGCACTTCTCAGAAAATCTCAAGCAAGCAACTTCTTTTTTTTTTTTGCAAGCAACTTCTCAAACTTGGAAGTTAAGAAAACCTTAAGAGCTTTAATTTAATATTCAGCTACTTACAAGAATTATTGAGGAAGAAATAGTTTTATTTAAGTCCCTTGATATTCTAATTCAAGTTTAAACAACGTTTACAATTTTTTTTTCCTGAGCAGTAAGTAACCTAGTTCTAGGAAAACTACCATTAGAAGTTAATGATTACTATGAAAATTAGTATTTCACAACAATCACTAAAGACACTGAAGTGCTCACTGGGAAAATGTCTAGGAACTGATGCAATGTCATATCTAACTCAAATGAGAAGAATTTTACAAACATATCAATGTTGAACTTACAGACTTTTTATATCCTAATAGCTACTATGCACACATTTTTGTAGTGAATGAATAAAAAAAAGTCAGCTCAGCCTGAAGCAGATGTTTGGAATGAGGTCAAAAGCGAAAAGGTCTCCATAGTTTAATTATTAAAACTACTTATATATCCCAAAACCATGCTTCTTAATGACTGACCTCGTTCCTGTGACAGTGTTTAACAGAAAGTATAAAGTAAGATAGCTGATGGCTCAGGATATCAAACTACTGGGATAATAAATGTTTTGAGATATAAAGGATATTAAAATTTTAAATTAAAATTTCAACTACTTTTTTTTAAGTTCCTTTCTCTACTCAGTTTGAGGAAAGTATCAAATAAAAGAAAGGGGAAATGGAAACATCTGAGTATTGCTTGTAATCCCAGACACTCAGAGTCATAAGAATGACAAACTCGCTGCATTCAGACATAACACAGAATCATCTCTTTCTGTTGTGAAATCAGTTTGAGTTAAAGTAGGTACACAATTAACAATGCCTAGGGATGCCAAATGTTTTAAAAGTCAACACCAAGATACTTATGATCTTTATTTCAGTGGACAAACTCTAAAAGGGTAAAAAAATACTCACTCATATAATGGAAAGTCTCTTCAGCAAGGACTGGAGAGAGGGCATCAGACGCATGCTGCTGCTGGTGTGGGGACTGAGTCCAGTCTTGATTTTCATATAGAAAGAGAGAGTCTACTCTTAGCTTATACTGGGGTAGCTGTTCTTCCAGCAGACTCACCAGCTCAACTTCAGGGAGATCCTCATTGGAGCAGACATCTAAAAAGGAGATTCCATGTAAATGAAGCCAATATATTCCAATTTACTAGGCTACAGAGAAAACATCAGTGAAATTAGTTTGCAAAGTAGGATAACCAAAGAAACACTAGACAGGATAATTTCTCCAGTGATTTTTATTAATATATGTTGGTACTATAATTGGTCTTTCTCTAGGTTTCTTTAATATGAAAACTTCTATGTAAAAATAATACCATGAATTTTAATTACATCCTATTTAAAAATATATTGCTTGGTGAATATAACTATGTTTTTAAAAACTAAAATGAATTTGAACAAATTTCTTATTTCCTCCTTATCAGTCAGTCTCTTCAGTGTTGCTTAAAAGAGAGCTGATCTCAAATAACATATATGCTTGGGGGGAAAAGGCAACACAAAACAATGAGCAGAAAATAGCTAGTTCAAAAGGAATAAAATGACATGTTCTTTAATAACAAAATTTGAACGCTGTGGGAGGATTCTTCAAAATTTGGAAAAATTACATTTCAGTATATTCTTACAGTAGCTAGATATCAAAAAATTAACATTTATTGGTGAAATGTTAACTAGTAATGTTAACATTTCAGCACCGTGTTCCAGCACGAGTACTGGAATAAGTACTTTATCATTTTTATTTTGAAAGATGTGGTACATATGAAGTCCTGAATACCTTTCACATCATACTCTCACCTACACACCTCTAGCTACCTTCTGCATACATCTCTGAACACACTTGGCTTCTCTGCCTTTATGTGTTTGCTCTTGGCTTCCTGTTCCAAATACTGCCCCCCATTTAACACTTCCCAAATTTAGCAGTTTACAGAAAAAGTAAATTTATCCCTTTTAACATGCTTAAAATAGAGAAAATACAGGATGTCATATCAACCCTCACACTTTATAAAGAGATCTGGTATTTCCTTTGTGGGTGGTATAAAGAAACATATCCTTACCCTGGCAAAGAACAACAAAGTTCATTTTAAGAAGACATATTTTAAAAGAGTAAATTTCTACTACTTGACCTTAACAATGACATTTTAATAAATCAAACACGAGTAAACTGACAAGATCACATACCCCTCTTTACCTAGGACAAGCAGTGACTTCATAATCACAAAGATGAGTTACATAATCACAGAGATAAGGTACATTAAAAATTTTAAATACAGTTCTAAAGAAGCTCTCAACCCTTAGCAGGTCTTTTTAAAAGCCCTAAAAATACAACCAAATTTTATTACTACAAATTCCATGTGATCATCCAAATTTGTCCTGCCATAAATATATCACATACAGATTGTCAGTTTAATACCTGAAAGAAAAGAAGTTGACTATAAACACATGCCGAGCTATAAACAGGCTTGTGGGCAATTCAGGAACTGAAGAACAAAATTTAACATTCATTAAAAGAGCTTTTATTCCCTATAAACTATCTTTTACTTTATTTTATTTTATTTTAGAGGACAGCTCTTTCATTTTAATTGCTTAGCAAATCTTTAGTGTAAATGACATTTTAAAATCTTTACTGCAATTCCTTCTCTGTCACCTCCTCTTCACCCCACAACATATTTAACAAAATCGCTAACCATCTAAATTAGAAATTGTCTTTTAATACGCATTAATGAAATTCTGTGAAAATTCAAGGTTACCAATTCCCTACTTCCAAAAGGTACTTTTAAAAATGCGTATACAATCAAGGTTTAGTAGATTAAATATCCTGACTCGCTCCCTCTATTTGCTTCTGTATTTCTTTTCTTTTTTTTTTTTTTTAAAGATTTTATGTATTTATTTGACAGAGAGAGACAGCAGTAGAGGGAACACAAGCAGGGGGAGTGGGAGAGGGAGAAGCAGGCCTCCTGCCCAGGAGGGACGCTTAAGGCAGATGCTTGACGACTGAGCCACCCAGGAATCCCTCCTTCTGTATTTCTGATAATGTACTATTTACTACTCTCCTGATTATCCAGTCTTAAAAACCCTCTTGCTAACATTTTATCTTCCAAATGTCCCCTCCATATGCCCACTTTTTTTTAGCCACGTTGTGGCCATTTAGATTCAAGGACTCCTTTTGTTTCTCTTGAAGAGCCTCAAAACTGGTCTGCCCTCTTACACTCAAATTTTCCTCCATATCTTCATATCCACATTATGTCACTCTCCTACACAGGCTAAAAGAGGTCTGAATCTCATCTAGCCATTGGAGAAAAACCTTACAAACAGTTGGGATAATCAGTAAAGATCTTAGAAAGGCCATGCTTACTCTTAGTAGGATTAAATTAATGCTAGAATAAAGCATACTACAGTATGATCTAAAGTATGATCTAGAGGCTCACCAAACAAAAATTAAAAACAAGCCTCAAAAGGATGGACCTTATTAGAAAGTAACTTAGGGATCCATCAGAACAAATTTTAACAGTCTTCCAAGGAAGACAACAAAATCTAAACATCTAACAATGTAACATTCAAAATAGCATTTGATAAAAGATTATTAGATATGCAAAGAATAAGCAAATTGTAATCCATTACCAGTTGAAAAATGAGTTAGTAGAAACAGGCCCAGTAATGACAAAGGTGATAAAATTCGTAAACAATTTAAAAACAGCTATTATTAATACACTCAAAGATTTAAAAGGAAAATATAAACTTGATGAAAAGAGAAACAGAAGCTATACCAATCTTTACAAAACCCAAGTAGAACTAAAGTATAATATCTAAATTGAAAAACTCACTGGATAACATTAACAGATTAGACATATTTCAAGAAGAAAAAAAACAGTAATAGACTTGAAGGCATAGTAATGGAAACTACCTAAAATGAAGCATAAAGAAAAAAAAAAAACTGGGGAAAAAATGAACAGATCATTAGTGCTTTCTGTCATAGTATCAAACCGTCTAACATACATGCAATTGGAGTCACAGAAGAGGAGAAAGGCAGAGCAGAAAGAATATTTGAAGAAATAATGGCTGAAATCTTGCAAATTTAATTAAAACTATAAATCCGTAGTTCAAAGAAGCTCAACTCTAAGCAGAATAACACAAAGAAAATCCAAAGAGAAAATCTTAAAAGCAGAGAGAGAGAAAAAAGGACACATTACATTTGAGGGAACAAAGACAAGAATAATCTCATCAGAAGCAAGGCAAAGTAAATGACAAGAGATGCCACTGAAGTGCATAGTCAACTCAGAATTCTGTACCAGTGAAAACACCTTTCATAAAAGGTGTAACAAAGACTTTCTTCAGACAAGCATAAAAGTGCAACTATTCATTGCCAGCTGACCTATATTACAAGAAATGTTAAACTTCCGGAAAAAAGATACAAAATGCAAAGTTCAATCTACAAAAAGAAGTAAAAACTGACAAAACTGGCAAATCTGTATGTAACTATATAAAACTTTTATTCTCATTTAATTTATAATTGACTGTTTAAAGTAAAAATAACAATTAATTATGTATATAACATGTAGATGTAAAAGACACAGCAACAATAATACATAGGATGATGAGGGAAACAGAAGAATACTGTTGTAAGGATGTCACTTTATGAAATAGTATAATGTTATTTGAGGATGTACTGCAATAAGTTAAAAATGCATATTGCAAACACAGAACAACCACCTAGAAAAATGAGAGGTATACCTATGAAGTCAATAGTGGAATTAAAATGGAATCCTAAACAAAACAAAACAAAACAAAACAAAACAAAACAAAACAAAACAAAACAAAAATCCAAACTCACTTCAAAAGATTGAAGGAATGGGGGAAAAACAAAGAACCACTAAGTGGAACAAAGAGAAAACAAATGATAGTACAGGGTCTACTGACTCAACCAAACTGATAATTATATTAAATGCAAATCGTCTAAACACCCCAATTATAAAGTAGAGATCGTCAAACTGAATTAAAAAAAAACAACGATCTAACCATAAGCTCTCTATAGGAGATGTTCTTTAAATATTCAGGTAAGTTAAAAGTAAAAGGATGAAAAATGCTATCATACTAATTCTACACCAACTCTTTTGAAAAATAGAGGCAGGAATATTTTACAACTCATTTTATGAAGCCAGCATTACCGCAATACAAAAATCAAACAGACTTGCAAAAAAAAAAAAAAAAGTACAAACCAATAGTTTTCATGAATGGGACACACACACATACACACAAAACATTAATAAATCAAATCCACAATCTATCAGAAGGATAATATATCAAGACCAAGTGTGGGTTTTCCCCACAAGGTTGGCTTAAAAATTCAAAAATAGAAAAAATTAAAAATCAACAGAATTCACATTTAACAGATTAAGAAGGAAAAACCACCTCAGTAATGGAGAACAGGCATTTGACAAAATTCAGCACCCATTCATGACAAAAACCTCTTATCCAACTGGGAGAAGAAAAACAATTCTCCAATTTGAAAAAGGCCATTCTAAAGAAAATTAATGGTGAGACTGTAACTTTTCTCTAATATTGGGAATATGGCAAGGATGTTTATTCTCATCACTTTTATTAAAAAATATACTGAGATCCTGTACTATTCAAGAAGGCAAGGCAAAGAAATAAAACACATCCAGAATGAAAAGGAACATGCAAAACTGTCTCCATTTGTACACAACATTATGGTTTACATAGGGAATTCTAAGGAATCTATAAGAAAGTTAATAAAACTAAGCTGGGCTACCCAGGTGGCTCAGTCAGTTAAGCAACTGACTCTTGATTTCGGCTCAGGTCATGATCTTAGGGTCATGAGATCGAGCCCCACACTGGGCTCTGTGCTAAACATGGAGACTTCTTAAGATTCTCTCTCTCTCGGGTGCCTGGGTGGCTCAGTTGGTTAAGCGACTGCCTTCGGCTCAGGTCATGATCCTGGAGTCCCGGGATCGAGTCCCGCATGGGGCTCCCTGCTCAGCAGGGAGTCTGCTTCTCCCTCTGACCTTACCCCCTCTCGTGTTCTCATTCTCTCTCTCTCTCGCTCTCAAATAAATAAAATCTTTAAAAAAATAAAAAAGAAGATTCTCTCTCCCTCTGCCCCTCCCCTAACCCCGCCCCCATTGGTGTGTTCTCTCTCTCTCTCTAAAAAAAATTTTTTTTAAATAAAAAAATAAAACTAAGTAAAGCAAAGTTGCAGAATACAAGGTCAATATATAATCAATTTCATTTTTATACACCAGCAGTAAACACCTGGAGAATGAAATGAAATAAAAAATGTCATTTACAGTAGCAGAAATAAATACAATTTTTAAGATTAAATTAAATAAAATGTGTAACACCTGTAAAATAAAAACTATAAAATACTGTTAAAAGAAATTAAATAAGAATATATCGTGTTCATGGACTGGAAGACTAAATTGTCTTAAGATGTCAATTCTCTGGAGTCTATGTAATTTACCATTCAATTAGAAATTGACAAGCTGACTCTAAAATTTATGTAAAGATGTGAAAGATCTTGAATGGCCAAAATAATTTTTGGAAAAAGAAAAAAGAACAAAGAGAGTTTATACTACCTGATTTCAAGATTTACTGGAGTTACAGAAATCAAGACAATGTGGTATTTATGTAAAGACAGACTTAAGGATTAAAGGAACACAGTGAAGCATCCAGAAATAGAACCACACATGCATATGCAAGTGATTTTTCAATGAAATTACCAAGATAGGGTAAAAGACAGTGTTTTCAATAAGTGGTGTACAAACAACTAAACATTCAACTGAGAAAAAAAATTTGGACCCTAACCTCATTCCATATGCAAAATTAAGTATAAAATGGACCACTCACCTAAATGTTAAAACAAAAACTATAAAACTTTTAAAGAAAACAAAGGAGGGTGCCTGGGTGGCTCAGTTGGTTGAGCGTCTGCCTTCAGCTCAGGTCATGTACTCAGGGTCCTGGGATCGAGCCCTGTGTTGGGCTCCCTGCTCAGCGGGGAGCCTGCTTAGATTTCTCTCTCCATTCCCTCTGCCCTCCCCCTGCTCATGCTCTCTCTCTCTTACTCTCTCTCTCAAATAAATAAATAAAATCTCAGGGTCCTGGGATCAAGCCCCGCCATCTGTCGGGCTCCCTCCTCAGCAGGGGGTCTGCTTCTCCTTCTCCCTCTGTGCCCTCTCACTCTTTCAAAAAATAAATAAAAAATCTTTATTAAAAAAATAAAAGAGAACAAAGGAGAATATCTTTGTGATCTTGAAGTATGTGAAGATTTTTTAGAAACAACACAAAAAACTTTAAACTATTATGAAAGCAAAAATTGAAAACTAGACTCCACCAAAATGTAAAACTTTTGCTCTTCAAAAGGCATTATTAAGAAGATGAAAAGGCAGGAGCCTCTGGCTGGCTCAGTCGGTAGAGCATAGGACTCAGGGTTGTGAGCTGGAGCTCTACACTGGGTGTGGAGATTACTTAAAAACAACAACAAAGATGAAAAGGCAAGCAGATATGGGAGAAAATATCTGCAACCCATTTATCTAACAAAGGATTTACATCTAGGATATATAATAAAGACATTTACAATTCAATGTAAGAAAAACTTTACAATAAGCAAATGATTTGAATAGACAACTCAAAATAAGATCTTGAAATGGCCAAATAAGCACATGAATAGATGCTCAACATCATTAGTCATCAGGGAAAAATAAACCCACAAAGAGATACCAGGACGTACCTACTAGAATGGCTTCAATCAAAAACACTGACATTACCAAGTGTTGGTGCTGTAGAATAGAGGTCAGCAGAGCAGGCTCCAGCCTGCTGCCTCTGCCTGATTTTGTAAATCAAGTTTTACTGGACCACAATCACATTTGTTCTTTTATATATTGTCTATGGCTGTTTTTCTGCTACAACAGCAGAGTTGAGTAGTTGGCACTTCAGCAATAAAAATGACTGAACTACTGATACATACCATAATGTGAATAAATCTCAAAAACATTTTGCTGTACAAAAAAGCCAGACATGAAAGACACAGATTAATTTATATGAAATTCTAGAACAAGCAAATTTTATCTATGGTGACAGAGAGTGGATCAATGGTTGCCAGGGGCCAGTGGTTGAGAGAGGGGGGCTCTGGGTACAAGGGAACTTTTGGGGGCACAATAAAAATGTTCTACAACTTGACTGTACTAGTGGTTACATGAGTGTATTATGTATTTGTGAAAACCAAACTGTGCACTTAAAATGGACACATTTTATTGTATCTTAATAAAGAGGTTACAATAAAGCTGAATAAAAAATGGAAAAAACTTTGGGTTTGGATGGATTTCAGAATTTTTTGGAGTTTTAGAAAAGTAATGCTATGTGTGTACTGTATGATATATAACAACTCCAACTGGTTTTGTAGCAGCACCCCATATTTAAATACATTAATACACTGTTAGCAAACAAATATTCACACTAAGTGAAATAAGTCTAGAAATAGCTACAAAGGTCAGGTTTTGTGCACCAATGAATTTTAGAACCAAAGTTTAGAAATAACTTTGGGTGTTTAGAGTTCTTTTGACTTGGTCTTACAGATAAGGGCTTACGGGCCTATAGCTGTGTTTGAATAACCTATATGTCCTGAGAGCTTCTTAAGTGTCACAAACTGTTGTCAGGTGTTTGCAGGGTATATAAAAAAGCAACTCTGTCCTTGTGGAAGATACAAATAGAAAGAGAAGAAGGGAAGGCAAGTATGAAGCAGGTCCAGCTAACCAGGGCTCACACGGTACAGAAGAATCCGACATAGACAACATATAACACACAACGCAGATTTTGATAATTCAGTAGGAGACCAGGAGAAGGAAAGATTAATTCGGTTGGTCTTTCAGGAGATCAGGCTGGAAAGTGAGGCCAGGATTTCATCATGGCAGATTTTACATGCTAGGAATAGCTTTTCAATATTTATTAAACTGGACTTACCAGTGATACTCTCTGAGTCTCTGTGATTGATATTCATGAGGTTTTCTTCACCTATTGGTGATGTAAAAATGGCATTCTGTGATTGACTCATGCAGGATCCTTTCTTGCTTTGGTTGACAAGGACAGCTTTGGTATGAATCAGAGTAAAGGAAATCCATTAAGCCATTCAATAACAAAATGGATCTGGTTGTACAGATATTTTCTTTTAAACAGCTTTTTTCTGATGAGTCAAATGACATCTGCAGCAATGAGTGCTCTCATGTGATTATCATACCCTGGAGAGTCATGACCTAAAACAAAGAACACATCAAGTGACTTTAGAATTCAGCATACTTTTTGGGGCACCTGGGTGGCTCAGTTGGTTAAGCGACTGCCTTCGGCTCAGGTCATGATCCTGGAGTCCCGGGATCGAGTCCC